TCACACAGAGCAGCCTACAAGGTCATACATGTTGCTTTCCTTACTTGGATCTAGACACCTCCTCCACGTTCCCCCCCAAAATAAAATTCAGTTAAAACAAATTCTTTTCTTTTGAAGTCTTGCCTCAACAGTGACTCACATTAAAATGTTTACTGGCCAAAAGATGTCTTCTGCGTGAGAATCATCCTGGAATTTTTGCAATGGCTAAAAGATTTTGCAAATTTAGTAACATGTATACACACATCATCATGGAGCTCCAGAATCAAACAAGAGTGGCCAGTGGAATTAAGCATCCTGTGCACAATATCCCTGCAAAGCCTTGAAATGAAACTTTATACCTCAAGACCTTGAGGCAATTAATAAATGGAGATTATATCCGCTTTACACGGTGGTAAGGGATAAAGCCCAGTCCCTTTGATAGGAATCTTATTCAGACACCCAGGACACAAATGTCTTTCAATAATTGAATCTTAGAAGTGGTGGGACAGATGGGGACTATGGAAAAAATTCCATGTAAATCACCATTAAAATACTGTCTTGAAGACAAGTGAGTGAACTTTGAACTGATTCATTTTTTAAATGACATGAGCCATGTCTCCCAGGAATCCCATGAAAATAAAAGACCTGCAAATCTGTCTAGGGTCACTCTTCTTTGTACTGACAGATACCCACACCAGGTGTATCCTAGTTGTTGTCACTTTGCTTAAGGCTTGACTTGCAGTACTTCCTAGAACAGAGTTAAAGGCAGCGGGTGGGCAGAGGAAGATAAATTGGATTGACAAAAAAAGGATAGGTTAAGATTTCAAATATTTATCGCCTTTTAAAATCAAATCTATGGCTACCAGACATAAGGGGAGAGGAAAATAACTTACGTAAAAGGGGTCAAGATGTAAAAATACGTAATATGTGAAACGAGAAGGACCCCATATTCAAATGATAGAACATTTTCAAATTTCTCCAATTTTATTCTCTTCATTCTATTCAAATGATTTTTATTCCAATTCTTCCATCCAACCTGGTAGGTATCTCCTATTTAGGAAATCAGTTTAGGGAATAACCGCTGGTGAAAATTTACAGGTGGTTTGTGTTGTGCTAATTGCTCTGGATGCGGTCGTGAACAAGTCCTCCAAGAACCTAAGGCGTTGAATGCCGTTATTAGCCTAACTCCGTCCCTGAGAGAACTAAAACTCAGACAAACATTAAGTAACTTTCCACAACACTCAACCAGAAAGCAGTAAGACTTGGATTGAATTCAGATCATATGGTTCTGGAATCCATATTTTAAAAATATTTTTAAATACTATTTTTTAATATTTATTTTTTTATTTTGCTTTTGGGGGGTCACACTCAGCGATGCACAGGGGTTATTCTTCGTTCTTCACTCAGGACTCACTCCTTGCAGTGCTTGGGGGACCATATGGGATGCTGGGAATTGAACCTGGGTCGGCTGTGTGCAAGGCAAATGCCCTCCCCACCGTGCTATTGCTCCAGCCCCAATACTATTCTTTTTAATAAAACATTTTTAAATACTATGCAGCGGTTTTGAGAACAGACGGCCGTGGTGCCAAAGAGAAGTAGTGTGCTGAGGCCCTGGAAGGCTTCTTGGATGCCTCCAGAGGCAGATTTTCTGGATTCTAGGTCCCTATCTTCAGGCAGGTCACTGCATGATCTTGAACTCAGGACCAATTGAGACTCAGACATTTGGAACTGAAAGTGATATGAGCATAGAATTGTGAGTGTGAAATTCCCCTTCTCTTTCGTTGCTGAGGAAGAAGCCTTGTGATCAGCTATTCCCAATCTTCATGCGTTCAGTTCTGTATTCCTTGTCACTGGAACTGAGTTCCCTGAGACCCCGATAAGGCAGACGGGCAAGAGCTTTCTGCCTGTGCTTCCTTCCATGTATTTTATGGTGTCAGGTTGTGCATCAATTTTTCAATCAATTTTTCTGTGAAGAGTAAAAAGTCAGAGAAAACCCAATAGTCTATGTTTTCATTCTCATTTGGAAGATAAAGCAAACAAGTGGATGAAACAAAACCTAAACAATTAGGTTCTCAAATCAAAATGCTCGTCACTAGAAAGGAAAGTAGAAAGTAGGAAGGGAAAGGGAATCAATTGCATGATGTTAAATAGAAATTGCATTTTCAGTGGCCAGGATATATAAACAAATATATATTTTAAGTTATAATTTATTTTAATTTTAATAAATTATAAACTTGCAATAATTTATTAAAATATATTATGATTTCAAATAAAAAATTGTGTTAAAATACTTTAAAATAAAGATTATATTTTTTTAAATTATAAATAAAGTTATTGATAATTTATTTTAATTATATTTTAAGTCAATATATAATACTGTAAATTTAAAGCCGAGGTGACATTTTTTTGTATGTGAAGGAAATCAGTTTAAGGAGGAGAGTTAATGAGAGAGAGAAAGAAAGAGAGACTGTCCCATAAAGTAAAGAAAGACATTAAATACCCTGAGCTGGGTTGTGGGCAACTCCAGAATGGAATGCATAAAACCAATTTAACATTTTAAACCTTCAACAAAACATTTTTTAAATCATTGATGATGCCAATACAAAAGGTTTATTTTTGAAAGCGTATTAAATTTTCCAATTGATCATCATCTCAAAACCCTTTTTAAAAATGCATTGGCGGCATGGTTTATAGAAATAAACTAAAGTATATGGAATAAAGCCAAACAATAAACTGGCTGTGAATCTACAGAAACTCACAGAGTATTATTTTTAATGTTTATGAAACACTCCCTCTTTTATAATAAAATTCCTTTGGCATGTTTTGACTTTTCAGCCTGGTACCCTTCTGAATGCCCAGAAGGAAAAGACACTGGTTACTGGTTATTTTAATTGGCAAAGTGATCATTAGTTTGAAAATATTATTCCATAGTGATGCTCCCAGGTATATCTACCATTTCTTCAGAAAGGCCAACTAGCAAGATTTTCTGTTCCTAAATCCTCCTTCTCTGCTGTTTATGTGTTCATGGGATCTGGAAAGGGTCATGGTCGCCATTCTCTCCCAGATGGGGCCCCTCTTATCAATGTTAGTTATTGCTGATTTAAAAAATTGCAATTGTTTCCTATTTGAAAGTGGAGAATTGCACAGATGGAGAATTGCACAGTGACAGTCACTGTCACTGTCCTCCCGTTGTCCATCAATTTGCTCGAGCGGGCCCAATAACATTGTGAGACTTGTTACTGTGTTTGGCATATTGAATACATCACAGGTAGCTTACCAGGCTTTGCCATGCAGGTGAGATATTCTCGGTAGCTTGCCGGTGTCTCTTTTATACAAATACGCACATTATTGCCTTCAGAAATGTGGTTTAAGTACACAGTGGGATGCAACTCAGTTAAAAAGCCTCAGACCTTATCTCTGGTGACAATATGGATGGGACCTCAATGGCCTTATGCTTAGTGAAATAAATGTGATAGAGAAACACAAACACTAAATATGGTTATTTGTGTGGAAAGAAAAAAAAAGAACTAGTGTAATGAAAAATAAACTCTTGTACTGTAAGACCAAGTCAGCTATCAGAGGCTGGAGGTAGCCAAATCATGTGAAAGAAGTCAATAAGATGATAAAGGATGAAATTCGATGAACAGAGTGGTACTCAGCGAACAGATGAGCTAAAGGTGCTGACCCTAACGTAATTTATACAGGGGTCATTAGGACTACTACACACCTGAAACTTATATGTTATAAACCAACATTACTCCAACAACAACAAAAAATTTTTTGAAACAAAATTTGAAAACCAAAGGTCATGACGTTGCAGGTCACAGTTTCAGTGAGAATTTGAAAATGAATTTGTATTCCTCCTTACTGCATTGCCACTATTTAGAGAGCGGAAGCTGGTGATGGCCTTGGTCTGCCATGCTGAATGGCACTAATAGGGCTATTTTGTGCTTTTGAGTTTTTCCAGAAGCCAGCCTGGGGAACTGCATGCAGGGTTCTGCAGGATGTTCAGTGAACTGTTCCCTAGGGCAGGCAGAGAGGCACTTTTCCCTCTACGTAACATTCCCACACGACCTTCAGTCCTCGGGAACAGCCAGTGCCAACATTCCTACATCTCCTACGACATTCCTACATCTCCAAGATGCAGAGTTGGAGAATAAATGAGAGGGAGCTTGGCGCTCCAGATTTCTTAGAAAGGCCGGTTTTCTTCAGGGAAGAAGGTTTCCCTCGCAGAGCCCTGGCTCTAGAAGTGACCTAAGACACCATCATCCTCAACTCTCCCCTTGAGCTGTGCATAGGGGAGACAACTACCAAGTTCTTGCTTATCCTGGCTCAGACGCAGGTGAGCCCACACCTGTTCCACCAGCAATGCCCTGCTCCCTGCTATGGAGACAATTAGTTGAATGCACACATACCTGCTTGACTGGTCACCCCCTTATGCCTCTGAGGTTGGAAATGACCGGTTGTTCTTTATCAGATTATTTGGCCCTTCTCGCCTCCCCCATACCTCTCGGAGGAAGGAAACTAAGATGCATTCAACAGAGAATCTACATTCGTGGGAGGTTTGCAACCTGCAGAGAGAAGGTGTGTGTCTCCTGACCGTCCCTTAGCAAGTCACCTTTCTGACTGAGATCTCCATGGAGATCACAAGGCCAGTCTGGTGTGGGTCCCACTAACTGTCTCTGAAGCAGCAGAGATTGAATAGCCTCAGGTGTTGCCTACTCTTGTGCTGGGTGAGGTCTAAGTGATAGATCCCCAGAAAGATGATTCAGAGACACAAATGCAGCAGGAGAAAGGTGCCTGACCCAAGACGGTGGACTGCAAGGGTCTGATGCAGAGTCCTCTAGCCTGATGTCCTCGGGGAGAGAGATGACACACACCTACAGAGCTAAGCCACCTGTTTTGCCCTTTCCTCGCAGGCAGTGCACGCAGAAAGGATGCCAGTGACCTTCTCAACCCTAGGAATAGAAAGCGCTGCTAGGTCCTGGAGAAGGGAGAGGGAAACCAAGAGAAAATGAGTGATGGTATTGAGGAATGAGGGGGCGAGGAAAGGAATGCAATGCTGCAATGAAAAAGGAGCCTGCGCTCGGCTTCCAGAAGATGCTTTGATGCCTTCTTCCCTTGGTGCTGCTGCGTTTGTTGCTGTTGTTGTAGCTGCTGTAATTGTTGCTGTAGCTGCTGTTACTGTAACTGCTGCTGTTTTAGCTGCTGTTGTAGCAGCTTCTGTTACTTCTGTTACTGTAGCCACTGCTGTTGTTGCTGTAACTGCTGCAGTTGTCGCTGTTTTTGCTATTGTATTTGCTGCGGCTGTTGCTGTTGCTGGAGTTGCTGCTGCTGTTGCTGTTGTGGTAGCTGCTGCTGTTGTGCAGCTTCTGTCGTTGCTGTTACTGTAGCCGCTACTGCTGTTGCTGTTGCTGCTCTTTCTGTAGCTGCTATAGTTGTTGCTGTACCTACTGGACGATACCTACTGGACTATCGGCTGGTTCAGCACCTCCATGATTGTGTGAAGACGCCGAGAGAGGTAGCCATAAAAAAAGCCTGTCTTCCAAGACTCTCAAGTTCATTTGCCAACATGACTTGGCACAAGCCTCAGGCAACTGCCAGTGAACATCTGAGCTCGCAAAGCAGTGCAGGTAAGTGATAAAGGAAGACCTCAAAGAGAGAAGAGCAGCAGTGCTGGCAGATGCAGCAGAAGCTGGGAAAAACATTTGCAATGCCCGCCTGTCCTTCGCCAACTACAAGATGACGGCCTTCCAACGTCCTGATGGATCTATCACATCTTCCAGAAGGGCAATGGAGAAGATTATCCATGACTTCTACTCGAATCTCTTCGATAGCCACGTCCACCTGCCCACATACCAAATTCTGCAGGATGGATATGTCGTTCCAAACGTTCTCCTTTCCAAAATCCAACACGCCATTTTGTCAGTAAAGAAGCAAACAGCACCCGTCCCAGACAAGGTCAGACCCGAAAACCTGAAGAACCTGCCATCAGTACTCATCAATACACTGGCTCGGGTCTTCGCACACTACCTGTCTGAATGTAGGTTTCCATCCCAATGGAAAGCCAGCAGGACTGTTCTATTGTACAAGAAGGGAGACATCCATGACATTGGCAACTATCGCCCCATCTGCCTGTTGTCTGTCGTCCAAAAGCTCGACTCGAGTCATCCTGAATAGGATTGGCAGAACACTGAATGAAGGACAACCATGCGAGCAAGCAGGTTTCTGAAAAGGATTCAGCACAATCGACCATATCCACATGATAATCAAGCTCATTGAGGTTTCTTGGGAGTTCAAGATGCCCTCTGTCTAACGTTCATTGATTTAAAAAAGGCCTTTGATTCTGTTTAGATTGAAGAGGTCATCAAAGCCCTAGCCAAACAGGGTGTTCAAACTCAATACATCAGGGTCCTTCGTGAGCTATATTGCAGATTCACTACCAGGGTCTCACCATTCCACAAAGAAGTGATCATTGATGTCAAGAGAGGGGTTCAGCAGGGTGATACCATTTCACCAAAACTCTTCAGTGCCACCCTCAAGGACATCATGCAACGACTGGAATGGGAAGGAATGGGAGTGAAGATAGATGGTCGGCAACTACACCACCTCTGCTTCGCTGATGACATCGTTCTAATAATACCAAACATCAGCCAAGCGGTACAAATGTTGCTTGACTTCAACTGTGAGTCTGGAAAGGTCAGACTACAGCTGAATCTCACGAAGACATTGTTTATGAGAAACAGTCTCGTTCCTGACGTTCCATTCACTCTCAACGGGATGAACATCTCCAAATGCAACAGTTATGTGTACCTAGGTCGAGAAGTCAGCATGATGAATGACCTGGCACCTAAGTTGCGCAGGAGGAAGAGAGAGGCTTGGAATACCTTCAAGAGTGTCAAAGAAATAGCTAAGAGGATGAAGAACCTCCAGCTCCAGGCACATTTCTTTGATTCCACTGTTCTTCCAGCATTAACATATGCCTCAGAGACCTGGGCCCTATGAAAACAGGATGACAATGCTATTTGGGTCTCCCAAAGAGGAATTGAAAGAGCTATGCTTGGAGTATCATGCTTCACTTAAGTGAGAGAAAGAATCCAGAGTTCCGACCTCCATCGACGCTCAAGAATCAGGGACGCTGTCTCATTTGCCAAGGCATCGAAAATCAGATGGGCTGGACACATAATGAGATTTGGAGACGACCGCTGGACTAGAGCCATTACCAACTGGATTCCACGGGACGTCAAAAGATCGTGTGGCCGCCCACCTACCAGACTTCTTCGTCAAGACCCTGAACGATTGGTTTGAGGCTCTTCATGTTCCTAGAGTGAGCAGACACCATTGTGCTACACTAGCACGCGACAGGGATGAATGGAGTCGTTACTGGCACCCACTCGAGCAAACTGATGAGTAATGGGATGTCAAGTGATCAAGTGATCAAGTACCTGCTGCTATTGTTGCTGTTGCTGAAGTTGTTGTAGCTGTTGTTGTTGCTATTCTTGCTGCTGCCTTTGCTGCGGCGGCAGGCACAGGAACACACCCCTAGGCTTTTGAGAGCGTCACCCCTGTCTGCAGTACCAGCCACCTTGATGATGATTCTTACAAGTTCTCATGCATCAACAACTGCCTCAAAAGACAGTTTTACTCTAAACAAATACAAATTTATTTAAGTCAAGGATGTTACAAAGAATGGGAATCTAAGAAAAAAAGATAGATCACATCAGTTTCGAGGATGCCTGAACAAATACTTCAGAAAACCCCAATCCTCTGTCAGTTCTGCAGAGACCCTCTCACCAGTGGCTAAAGGATTTTAAACAGCAAATCTAAGTAGTGGGCTCCAGTCCAGTGCTTCAGCAACTGTTCTGCCTCTTTAATTTCCACCTGATTATCTCATGTGCCTGATTCCTTACGTAGTTCCAAATCCAAAAAGTGGAGGTCCGAAGAATAGGTGGGGAAGGGTTGCTTTTTGGCTTTCTCTAAAACCTTAATAGTTATAGCCAGGTCAAGAAAAACTAGCCTTCTTTTCCCTTTGTAGGACCAAATGTCTACAGTAACAGCGACATTGTCTTCTAAGTCTTTTGAATTGAAAATTGTAGACGGGTCCAATTTAAATAAATAAAAGTTAATTTTAGAACCTGCCAGTTCCCCACCATTTGAAGTAAAGACATCTGGAGTAATAAAGTTAACATGAAGGTCCCTTGAAAGGTTTTTAGTTCCTGCAGGTATTACTCTTACATACGGCACGTTAGGGTTTTTAAAACATAGTGAAAGAAATTAAGTTCTTGTGTCTGAAATTCCCCCACTGAAACCTGTTTCTTTAATCTTTTTTTTTTTTATAATTTATTTATTTATTGAATCACTGTGGGAAAAGTTACAGAGCTTTCGGGTTTAGGTCTCAGTCATGTAAATATCAAACACATTTCCCTTTACCAATACTTATTTTTAACCCCGAACCCCAATAGACCCCCACCTCCCACCCCTCCCAATTCTTGTGAGGCAGGTGAGTTCTAGTTAATACTCTATCTACTTTGACTAGATACATTGTTTCGATAGAAGATGCACAATTATTGTTTAGAGTTTACGACACCCCCCCCATCAGATATGCTGAAACAGCGTTGTGAAATGATTTGCTTTCTACAACTTGGTTTAAGAATAAAATGATGTCGCGCGGCTGCTATCGTGGCCGCGCGGTTTTGAATTTCTGCTATTTTACTTATTGACCCTGGAAGAATTTCTATTAAAAGTTAGATAGTTAAGAGATTGGTTTCTGTGCCCTGGAGTCGTGGCCGTGCCGGAGAGCCGCTCGTGGGGGGCAGCTGGCGACCTCGGTGGGGCGTGGGGGACAGCCCACAAAGCCCCCCTTCCCATGAGGTCCCTGCCGCTCCCGCCGAGCCCGGCTCAAACCTGCTGTCCACAGGGCTCTGGTGCGGCCGTCATCTCCTGTTTCTTTAATCTTTGAACCCTCCAAGCTCCAAAGCTAAAAGCATCACCTTCGGCTCTCTGGTACCCCCTTGGGCAGTTACGATGCCCTGAACTCTGTCAGTGGCAAGGGATGACTGTCTATCTCTCAAACCACACACTAAGCTAAGGATGGAGATCAAAATTCACCTCCTTTGCAGATTCTCTTTTGGTCTACTTTTCTAGAATCCTTCATGCTAGCCTCAACAAGTGGCTTCATCCTTCAGCTTTTCAAACTCGTTTAATCCATTTGAAAACATAAGTCTCATCACCAACGAGCCAAGCACATCTACCATGGTCTTGAGTAAGTGTCACTACTTGGTGACGCTAAAGAAACTTGCTGAGTGTGTCACATTAAGCTGTCACTATCAATGTCCTCCCGTTGTTCATCGATTTGCTCAAGCGGACCCAGTAACATTGTGAGACTTATTGTTACTGTGTTTGGCATATCGATTTCGTCACGGAAGCTTGCCAAGCTTTGCCGTGCAGGCAAGATACTCCCGGTAGCTTCCCCAGGCTCTCCAAGAGGGACGGAGGAATCGAAGGCAAAGGAATCAAACTCGGGTCACTGTGGTTGGCCGCGTGCAATGCAAACGCCCTACCTGCTGTGCTATCACTCCAGCCCACATTAAAGTATAAGGAACAGAAAACTACTGAAATAAACTTGTTAAATGAATGATAGGCTTATCGAGGGATGTAATCTCACATTAGAATAGTAATGGGAAGAAAATTGAAGCAACAGATCAGGAGATTTCCAGGGATCTCACTTCAAGAGTTTATGTAGTTTATGTGTTGATGAGCTCGACAAATAAATCTGCTCTGTGAATTTTAATGAAAAATGTTAACGCCACTTGGGGGAGTGGGGAGAGGGAGAAAGATCTAGCCACAAAAATCGCTATTTTTATATAAATAGAGGTTGGAATGGTGCTCAAAAGATAAAAAAGGAGTAAACAGTTGTCTTCCAAGCTATAGACGCTATACTGCATATGGTCTCCTGAGCACCACTAGGAGTGACTACTGAGAGAAAATCCAGAATAAGTCCTCAGGACTGCTTGAGTGTGCTCCTGCACCCAGTAAAAGCACCATTGAACCAGAAAATATTCCTTGCATGAAGGCCCAAGTGGCCTTGTTAATACAATCGACAGTGGGCATTAGAACATCTTAATTTTCTAGGCCCTCTTGTTCAAGAATTGGGAAGAACGAGTGGACTCATACCAAGCAGACGGCTCGCAAGTCGACCGGCGGGAAGGCGCCCCGCAAGCAGCTGGCCACCAAGGCGGCCCGCAAGAGCGCGCCGGCCACGGGCGGCGTCAAGAAGCCGCACCGCTACCGGCCCGGCACCGTGGCGCTGCGCGAGATCCGCCGCTACCAGAAGTCCACCGAGCTGCTCATCCGCAAGCTGCCGTTCCAGCGGCTGGTGCGCGAGATCGCGCAGGACTTCAAGACCGACCTGCGCGTCCAGAGCTCGGCCGTCATGGCGCTGCAGGAGGCCTGCGAGGCCTACCTGGTGGGGCTCTTCAAGGACACCAACCTCTGCGCCATCCACGCCAAGCGCGTCACCATCATGCCCAAGGACATCCAGCTGGCCCGCCGCATCCGCGGGGAGCGGGCATAAAGTTTACGATGCTGTAAGTAACCTAACCTCACAGCTTAAGAGCTTGGAGAAGGACCAAAAAAAGGAGCACAACCCGAACAGGAGAAAGGAAATAATAAAACTCAGAGCAGAGATTAACGAGATGGAAACCCAAAAAACAATCCGAAAGATCAATGAAACCAAAAGTTGGTTCTTCGAGAAAATTAACAAGATCGATAAGCCTCTAGCAAAACTCACAAAGAAAGGGAGAGAGAAAACCCTAATAAACCGAATCAGAAATGAAAAGGGGGTCATTACAACAGAAACCACAGAAATTCAGAGGATCCTCAGGGAGTACTTTAAAAAGCTTTATGCCACGGAACATCAAAACCTCGAGGAAATGGATAAATTCCTAGACTCCTACAGACTCCCAAGGCTGAACCAAGAAGACCTGGAATACCTGAACAGACCTATCACCATCAAGGAAATTGAAATGGTAATAAAAAGTCTCCCCAAGCACAAAAGTCCTGGCCCGGATGGATTCACTAGTGAATTCTTCCAAATCTTTAAAGAGGACTTACTCCCGATGCTCTTTAAGCTTTTCCACGAAATTGAAATATCAAAAACACTTCCGAACAGTTTCTACAAAGCAAATATCACACTGATACCAAAAGCAGACAGAGATACCACAAAGAAAGAGAATTACAGGCCGATATCCCTGATGAACACAGATGCAAAGATCCTCAACAAACTACTAGCAAATAGAATCCAACTACTCATCAAAAAGATCATACACCATGACCAAGTAGGATTCATCCCAGGGATGCAAGGATGGTTTAACATTCGGAAATCAATCAACATAATCCACCATATCAACAAAAGAAAAGATAAAAAGCATATGATCATATCAATAGATGCAGAGAAAGCATTTGATAAGATCCAGCACCCCTTTATGATGAAAACCCTAGCCAAAATGGGTATAGAGGGGACCTTCTTCAACATAATTAAAGCCATCTACCACAAGCCTACAGCAAGCATCATCCTTAATGGGGAAAAACTGAGAGCCTTCCCTCTAAGATCAGGGACGAGACAGGGATGCCCACTCTCTCCACTGCTGTTCAATATAGTACTGGAAGTACTTGCAATAGCGATTAGGCAGGAAAAAGATATTAAGGGCATTCAGGTAGGAAAGGAAGAAATCAAGCTCTCACTATTCGCAGATGATATGATACTCTACTTAGAGAACCCAATAACTTCCACCAAAAAACTCCTAGAAACAATAGACTCGTATAGTAAAGTTGCAGGTTATAAAATCAATACCCAAAAGTCCATGGCTTTCCTATACGCAAACAGTGAGAGAGAAGAAAGCAACATGAAAAAAACAATCCCGTTCACAATTGTGCCCCAGAAAATCAAGTACCTAGGAATCAGCTTAACTAAGGAAGTAAAGGACCTGTACAAAGAAAACTACAAAACGCTACTTCAGGAAATAAAAGAGGACATGAGGAAATGGAAAGATATCCCCTGCTCATGGGTCGGGAGACTTAACATTGTCAAAATGGCAATACTACCAAAAGCATTGTATAAATTCAATGCAATCCCTATAAGGATACCCATGACATTCTTCAAAGAAATGGAGCAAACACTCCTGAAATTTATATGGAACAATAAGCCCCCACGAATAGCTAAAGCAATTCTTGGGAAAAAGAAAATGGGAGGAATCAACCTCCCGAACTTCAAACTGTACTACAAAGCAGTAATAATTAAAACAGCATGGTACTGGAACAAAGGCAGAACTGCAGACCAATGGAACAGGGTTGAATACACTGACATCTCTCCTCAATCATATGCTCATCTAATCTTTGATAAAGGTGCAAGTAATGTGAAGTGGAGTAAGGAAAGCCTCTTTAATAAATTGTGTTGGCATCACTGGACGGCTACATGCAAAAAAATAGGCTCAGAACTCTGCCTAACACCATGTACAAAAGTAAGATCAAAATGGATTAAAGACCTCAACATCAGACCAGAAACCATAAGGTACATTGAAGATAAAGTTGGCAAAACCCTCCATGACATTGAAGCTAATGGTATCTTCAAAGATGCCACGCCACTGACCGAGCAAGTGAAAACAGAGATAGATAAATGGGACTATCTTAAACTAAGAAGCTTCTGCACCTCCAAAGAAACAGTGACCAAAATACAAAGACAGTCTACAGAATGGGAAAGGATATTCGCCGAATACACATCTGACAAGGGGTTGATATCCAGGATATACAAAATACTGGTTAAACTCCACAAGAAGAAAACATCCAACCCCATCCAAAAATGAGGCAATGAAATGAACAGAAACTTTCTCAAAGAAGAAATCCGAATGGCAAAAAAGCACATGAGAAAATGCTCTACATCATTAATCATCAGGGAGATGCAGATCAAAACCACAATGAGATACCATCTCACACCTCAGAGACTAGCCCACATTCAAAAGAACAAAAGCAACCGATGCTGGCGTGGATGTGGCGAGAAAGGGACACTCTTTCACTGTTGGTGGGAATGTCCACTGGTTCAGCCCTTCTGGAAAACAGTATGGACAATTCTCAAAAAATTAGAAATTGAGCTCCCATTTGACCCAGCAATACCACTCCTGGGAATATATCCCAGAGAGGCAAAAATGTATAGTCGAAGTGACATCTGCACATGTTTGTTCATTGCAGCACTCTTTACAATAGCCAGAAATTAGAAGAAACCTGAGTGCCCAAGAACAGATGACTGGTTAAAGAAACTTTGGTACATCTACACAATGGAGTACTATGTAGCTCTTAGAAAAGATGAAGTCATGAAATTTACATACAAGTGGTACAATATGGAAAGTATCATGCTAAGCGAAATGAGTCAGAAAGAGAGGGATAGACATAGAAAGATTGCATTCATCTGGGGGATATAAAGTAACAAAGTAAGAGATTAATACCCAAGAATAGCTGAGATCAGCACCAGGAGGATTACTCCATAACCTAGAGGCCAGCCGGGTATCCTAGAGGAGAGGGCAGTTCAGATAGAGAAGGGAGCACCAAATAAAGGATGTTTGGAGGATCCTCCCAGGAGGGGAGATGCATGTCGAAAGTAGACTATGGACTGAACATGTTTGCCACTCAATGCCTCTTTTGCAGACCACAACACCCAAAAGGAGAGAGAGAACACAGGGGATTGCCCTGCCACAGAGACGGGGGGATGGGGGGATGGGGGTGGGAGGGATATTATCCATGGTGGTGGAAAATGGGCACTGGTGGAGGGATGGGTATCTGATCATTGTATAATTGAAACCAAAGCACAAAAAATTGTAAATCTACAACTTTAAAAAAAAATAAAATACAATAAAGGGAAAAAAAAAAGAGAAAAAAAAAAGTTTACGATGCTGAAATCTCAGGGCTGGAGACGCTACTGGCTCCTGCTTGAGCCAATCGGTGATGAACGGGATGACAGTGCTACAGTGCTCATTTCCTAGGAATAAGTAAGCAGCTCTACTTTACCTTACCTTGATCGTTTCAACTTGCAGAGGCCAAAAGGATGCTCTTTTATTCCCAGTTACATCTCTGACTGGTACCTTTATGGGAATGTAAACATTAAGATGTTAGCGTTAAACTGGAATGACTTCATTGTAACATAGATATTGTCAAGCTAATTAGGGACAGTGACCGTTCATATCACTGGCGGTCTGGAGGTCAGAAATGTCAGGCGTGACACCACGTAGATGTTTTCTATTTGGTGTTTATAGACTGATGTTCAGCCAGGCTGAAGAAAGTCTTTGTACGAACATCGAGGCCTATTATGGGCTTCAGAGCCTCCCTTAATAAGAAAAAATAAAGGTTAAGAAGAATAGATTGATAGCACAGTGGGTAGGGCATTTGCCTTGCATGTGGCCAACCTGGGTTCCATTCCCAGCATCCCATATGGTCCCCTGAGCACCGCCAAGAGTAATTCCTGAGTGCATTCCAGAAGTAACCCCTGTGCAACGTGCAATGTCGGTGTGACCCAAAAAGCAAAGAAAAAAAAAAAAGATTGATGTGTAGCCCAAGAAAGAGATACTTCAGTTATGTAGACCGTCTGTACTATCCAGAGAACCTTTCTTGAGACACTAAAATTTAGTCATTTCTTCATGGATTATAATTCCAAGTTATGAAGAGGTCAAATAAAAATATAAAATTAATAATGCCATGGTTCGCCGCTATTTTTGCAAAATATTGAAAGGCAAGATGATTATATAAAGATGAAAATTAGGCATTTTATGGTGAAGTATGAATTTCAGTGATTCTTATTTCCCTTCATTGTAATAAAAAATGGTTTGTATAAGTACACCTGGATTAAGTTATGAGACTTTAACTTCTCACTTGGAATCAATTCACAACCATCTTTTTAAAAAATGTTACCAATATACTCTGCTTGCAACTCTTGGCATTAGTTTCTTGAGAAGAAAAAAATGAACTATTCTGGCTCAGAGGCTACGAAACAGCAGAACAGAGTGAGAGTTCGGTACAGAAATAATATAAACTGAAAAGATCTCATGTCCAGGTGGAAGGGATTACAATACGAACCATTATTTTGACTAAAATGATACACCATCAATTGCTAAGCATTTTGAAATCTACCACCCATAATCAAATGTTTTGTGCATCCCACCCTTTGAGTATCCAACCCCTCTGTGTTAGGGGCTTGATAGAATCTTGAACCTAGCCTAATATATCTTTTTACAACCTTTGATCCAATGATAGTGCTCACGAGAGAAAGAGTATTTTTCTCGAAGTTCCACTTGTTCAGCAAAACCCAATAACCTGGCAAAGGCTGTCTGCAAGCTCACACCTTTACATTTAAAATCCATGACTAGCACCAAAATCGTCTTAGATTTTATATTTATAAGAATAGTTATAAGATATCCTGGCATTGTTATCATGAAAATATTACAAGACAGCTGTTGAAAGAAAATAACAATGGGATGTCTTCAAATACTTCCTCTATTTGAAACATTTAAATACAAGGACTGATTTAAGGAA